GGAAAGTTTGACCTCCGTTCTTTAATCCTGGGATCATTCTTGGGAATTCGAATAATCCCATTGGGGTAATTATTGCTGTCTTCTCTATGTCTTCATCGCGGACTCTTATTTGTTGGTAAGCTCGGTTGAGATCGATGGTGGAGAATATAGTCTTGTCTGATAGTTGATGAGTGAAATCCCTGACTCGCGGTATTGGGTAGCGGTCAGGAGTGGTAATAGAATTCAGTCTTCTGTAATCTCCACAAACTCGTAATTCTCCGTTCTTCTTCGGTACAATGTGAAGTGGTGATGACCAAGGGCTTTTGCTTGGACGGCATATTCCTTGCTCAATCATGTTTTCGAATTCCTTTCGAACTTGCTCGTATAGGTGTGGTGCGATTGGACGTGCACGACAATGAAGTGGTGGTCCATTGGTGTCGATAAAATGCTCAACGTCGTTCTTCGGTGTTAATTTCATTGAAGTTATTCTTGTGATACCAGGGTATTCTTCGAGGATCTTGTGATACGGTTGTTGCACATCTATGCTTCTTATTGTGGGCAGATTGGTTGCTTGTACAAAAGACTGAGATGCAAGATTGGTTTTCCCGTCGATGATTCTTCTATTTTTGATGTCGACGACCAACTGGTGATGTTGAAGAAAATCAGCACCGATGATTGGTTTGCTGACTTTAGCGACGATAAATCTCCATTTGAATGGTCGGCGTAGATTAAAATCAAGTTCCATTGTTTTTTCTCCATATGTAGGAATAACCGTATTGTTTGCTGCATAGAGTTGAAAATCTAGTGGCTTCAACTTCTGTCCTTGCTTCGGCGGTAACACTGAGATATTTGCTCCGGTGTCGATAAGGAAAGTAAGCTTGCTTTTTTTATCGGTGACGAAAAGACGGTAGGACTTTGCTGTTACGCTGGATCCCGTCGCATCGAGCGTACTAGTTAGTTTTCCGTATTCGTATTTTCATTTTTGAATGTACACGGTGCTGTGCATTTTCTTGCCTCGACCCCGAAACGTCGATGATAGTAGCAGTAAGGGGATCTTGATGTTGAGCTTATTCGACTTCTACTTGCAGAGCGGTTGCGACGAAAAGGTGATCTTCGGAGTTGCTGATTGCGCTGGTTGTACTGTTGCTGCTAAAAGGTATGATGCTGGGAAGCTTTGAGCGCGGCGACTTCGAATGATAGCTTCCGAATTTCTTCGAGAAGAAACTGGGTATCATTGGCCTTTGTTGAAGTGCCTTCGATGATCGATATGTGTGAGCTACTGCTGTTTTCGATCATCTTGTCCGCCAGGAGTGCCAGTTCGTCGAGCTTCGTCTGCGTGCTGAATGTTTCGCTGACTGCTATTACCGATCGAATATGTGGTGGTAGGTGGTTTACCCACATTAGCCGTAGTGTTGAATCCGGAACTTTATCTCGCGCCAAAGTACGCATTTTGCGTAGGAGTTGTGTGGGTTTCTGGTCTCCAAGTTCTATTTCTGATAGAAGTTTTTGTAGCTGTCGACTGTCGGATTCTTCATATGCGGAGATCAGACGATCCTTCAGTGAATATACTGGTCGACTGCTGGTGGGTTGTACAACAGGTCCGCAATTTGTTCGATGTCTTGTTTCTCAAGAGCGGGCTATCACCATCTGTGCTAATTGCGCTTGGCTCTTCTTTAAACCATTCGTTGCGGCTTCAAAACTGACGAACCAAAGTCGTGGTTTGTCTCTCCAAAACGGTGGTATTCTTAACGATAGAGATATACCGGCGATTTCTGGTTCCTTTACCGGGTTTGATGTATATGTGTTTGCCTCCTGCTCCATAATGACGGCTTGATTACACTGATTTTATATAAACTGAAGTCTTCCTTCTCGGTGTTCGTACGGGTTTCCTTCGCGGTGTTCGTGCAATAGTAGTGGTACGTCGCAGGGTGTTCCTTCTTGGTGTTCGTACCGGATCTTCCCCCTCGGTGTTCGTACGGGGTCACCACTGTAATAGTGGAGACGAACTGTCCACTATTAACAGACTCCGAGTGGTTTTCTTTAAGGTGGAGAAATGAAACTACTGTTTATGTTTATGAATGTACTGTCGAATGGGATTCGGAATGGAATGTTATTTTGCATCAACCTTGCCTATATTTATATGGCTGGCTCACTATTGATTTGCCAATGGTAACAATTAATATTTTGCCTAGCCAATTATATTGCTTATTTTATGACCAATGAAAACTATTTAAAATATACAATTATCTACGTTTCGTTTCCCGGCGTGAGACTTGTTTGTTGTTCACGAAGCTACGTCGCTGGACCGGGCTATATAAGACATGCAGATCGGTGCGCACGCGTAGTCGGCGGGCGGCGGCGGTGTGGAATACAGCTCCGGAACAGCAAGAGGAAACGAACTGCGGCGTTGAAGAAACGGCTCACCATTGGTCGACGGATACGTGACGATAGCGGCGTGTGAAGTCGGTGTGGCGCTGAATGATATTTGCGGCTGCTTCTTGTTTCTTTATAAGAACGTCAAATTATCTATATACAGTCCGCAGTATCTCAGTAGCCAAGAATAATTAGGAAATAAAATGTTTTTTTATTTATTCTCGCCTTCCGCGTTATGGTAGCAGCGGAGTATATATTATTTATTCCCGTTTCGGTTTGATTAATCTGGCTGCTACACTCCTATGACCTATATTCAGCAAAGGACTTTAGATATGTTATAATGGATTTAATATCAACCCTAATATGGGCCCAAGGAACCTAATAAGATGTCGTAGATAGCTCGAGCTCGTGAAACTGCGCTCGTCTCGTTCCGCACGACTCCGTCTGGACTTTGGTATTGATGTATATGGGTTCTCCAAAGACTTCTATGTGAGCTAGTAGACTAGCAACTCAAAAACAACTGTGTGTGGATCACATGGGCGCAGGTGTGTCTTGGTAGCCGGCACGGTAAATATGCCACGCAGTTCGATTGTCATTTATGATATTTGCTGTTTTTAGGTCTATATTATAAGTTATGTTGAGAAAGTGTGCACATAAATAATGAGACCGTCTTTTTAGTTACATCAAAATCGGTGCTAGATTGTCGAAAACAAAGTTCACGGTTAAAAAATAAAATAAATAACTAGTTCTCTCGCCCGTTCACAGTCGGCTAAAGAAGTTATGGAGAATAGGCCGTAACTTAGTGCGTAATATATTAATTATTATCATCATTATTACAACCCTTCACAATTCTACTGCTGAGCATTGGCCTCCCTCAAAAAATTCCACAAAGCACGGTTCTGAACCATTTGTATACATTAACTTTATGTTTTCGCAGGTCGTCACTCCATCTAGTGGTAGATCGTCCTAAACTACGTTTACAGGTTGCTACTTGAGAACTTTTCTTTCTCATCCATCGATTGTTGGCTATGTGACTGGCCCATTGTCACTTTAGCTTACTAATACTAATGATTACTTTGGTCCTACAGCGGATATTCTTATTTCTAAGTTTATCACGCAAATAAATCCCGAGCAAAACTCTCTCCAGAGCTCGCTGAGCAATCTTGAGCTTCTTTATATGGTCAACTGTGAAGGGCTATGACACTGGTAACACGCATCGGTTGTACATTCTTGTTTTCAAATTTTGAGGTATACTTGACAAGATATGTAGTACTCTCTCGAATATTGCCCAGCAGAGTTGAATCTGTTGATTGACATCTCGGTCGAAGTTGGATTGAACTAGTCACGCTGTTTGTCCCAGGTGAGTGTGTCCCAGTGAGTAACAACTTCGAGCTTAGTGCTTCCAATAACTACCGGCGAAGATGTTACATTGGACATTACACATGACTCGTTTAGTCCAAATTCATCTTAAGATCTATCCGTTGAGAGGTACTATTGAGGTCATTGAGCATAGTACTTAGGTCCTCAAGCGCTTCTGCCATAAGGCCTCTGCCTCGAATCTTGCGGGCAGCGGAGCGACGGCGACGGCGGCGCGGGATCGGGGCGGGCAACGCAGACCCGTTCACGAAACTAGCGGGCAGATCGCGCGACACTATAGCGGCGTAGTGATGTGTTCATGGTTGTGTTGTCGAGATGTTTTCTTTTATTTGCGAATGAAATGTCTGAACAACGGCGACAACATCTTTTTGATTCAAATTTATTTCTAACGCTCGATTTACTGTGGTCAAAAGAAGAAGTGAATCCCTACTACTTATTATAGGGCAAGGAAAAGAAAAGCCGAGTTTTATCGAAATTACGAAGAACAGAGACAATGTCCCGACAAATTCTACGACTACACCAGAATGAGCGTAGAAACTTTTGACTATATTCTTGAAGCTATCGAGGGCGATTTAGAGTCTGTATTCAGTTCGTTTTTAATTTCTTCTCATAACTGGTTAATTACTCTTCTATTTTTATGGTTCACATCTTTGCTGTTCCATATCGGTGTTCTCTCAAAAATTGCTGAAATAATTTTCTCTTGCACGTCCGAGGACGTTTCGAAACGTCACAAAAATTAATTGCGCAGCACTGCAATGCAGACGCGCGGGCGGTCACCGCTTGACTGGAGTACACCGCTCGTTGCCCGCCCCCCGCGCCGCTGCAAAGCCGCTGTTTTCGAGAGTCGGTCCATTTGATTTTACGCATAAGTTCCTGTCGCTCCCGCGCCGCCGCCGCTGCCGTCCCGCTGGCCGCAAGATTCGAGGCAGAGGCCTAAGACTGTCGTCAGCAAATCTAAGATGAGTGATGTAGTCGCTATTGATGTTCATATAGATAGAAGTGTTTAGGGTGTGGTGTAGCGTAGTTTATGCGCTTGTCGTGTGGTGGTCACCTGATGTATGCGTCTATGTTTATGGGATGAAGGTTATAATGCAAATCGATAACATCTGGCAATATTTGAAAGTTGTTACCAATATCCTTTATTTCTATTACACTACTATCTTGTATGAATAGTAAATAATCTAGATTAATAGAAAAAGCTTAGAATATAACAATGGTACTTTTATAAATATCTTTAAAAAATACAGAATGTGAAAAAAATTAATGATCACCTCGTCTCATCTTCATTTTCATTCTCCTGCAGAAGCTTGCATTGCTATACCAACTCCACACCGGTAGTAATGATATCTCTGGTGAACGACAAGGCTGAGGGCTGTAGTACTCCACGGCAAAGCTGATCTTGTTGCTCTATGAAGTACGATTGTAGTTCCACCGAGTCCTCGAATATTTGACTGTCCGTGCGAGAGAGGCGGCGGGCTCTGGAAATATATGGCATCATAATTATTATACATACAATGTCACATTTTTTTTAAATTGTAAAAATAAACGAACTAACAACTCCCCTGATGGTAAGTGACATGACCCATGCAACCAACTTAACCCCTCAGCCACCAAGCAGTCGCATGAGCCCGCGGCCATATTCCGTCAAATCCCTTGCGGTCTAATGAGGTCGCACCCACCCACAGCACTTTAACCCATAAAAACTTATAAATATATATAGAGACTACTTTTCTATGAAGAAGTTTGGCATTATATAATCAATATAAAATACTCTATCCCGTAGTGCAATAAAAAAACTGTTATCTTATGAATATTTATTTATAATGTACGTTTCATTCGTTTGCCATTTTTTCGCGAATGTTATTGTGTTGATTTTTGGATTTTTTAGTGTTTTATTATAAAATTGTAATGAAAGTTTTTGTGTGAATATAATTTACCTATTTACGTAAATAATTTTGAGTAATATATAGAAATAATTGTGATTTTCACGCTGCCGAAATTCGCTTGGTATATTTTCTTTTTGTTATCAAAATACAATAAAATATTTTTGTAATGAAGTAATACCTGACTTTTGTTTAGACCACGAGATAGAGAATCTTGTATAGATTTTGTAATGCCAAACTTCTTCATAGAAAAATCGTCTCTAAATATAAGTTTTAATGGATTTAAGTGCTGTGCGTGGGTGCGGTCGCTTGAGAGCGCTCGGGATTTGTCGGGCGCATGCGACTGCACGATTTTTAAGGGGCTTAAGGAGTTATAAACAAAGGCGTTGTCACCTCTGAGGACTGAGATGGAATGCTATAGCTTTTACACCAAAACAGTGTGTGCAGGCAATGTTGATTGGCGGCAGAAACAGGTAAGAGAATGGTACTCACCCCGACGTATATCTAGCCAGGAGTAGAGAATTGCCACCTAACAAAAATTGTAGCTAGAACCATATGCCCTTAAATGTCCTACTCCTGAACACAACCTTTCACAAAAGCAGTATTTTTTGGAGAATGCTATGGATTAGATATACAGCTGGCTGGCTGGTGTAGATTGTAGTAATTAGAGAAAGCCTGAAATATTTTAATTTCCTAGGGGTGGATGGAATCTCAATCCATTCAATTGTAGACCAAAAATTTCTATTAATGTTATTTCTAAGTTATTTTTATTTTGATAAGAATAGCTCACCTTTTGAAAACTGCAAACATATCCTGTTGAAAATGATCTAGACGTTTATACAGTCCTTTGTCTGAACGTCGCTTAACTAAATCCAAGGATATAGCGCGAACTTTCTCTCCATTTGTCGCTTCGTCGTGTTGCGGTAATTCTGCCATACTACCTGAGTAACACCTGAAATCAAATTATTTTATGGATCCAAGTTAAAATTTCAAAGAATAAAACACAATCAATTATGAGTTCGATTGTATTCAATATATGTTATATATAACAATTATACCTTTTCTGTAGACATATTTCGTAATTATGTAATTTGTTAATACTCTGATACTCTTTGACCTTTGAGCAAACTAAGCCAAGTTAAGGAATTAAAATAATTTTTACCTGCCCTCTTCATCCTGATGGTTATAAACTGTGGTGAATAAGTTGAGCAGCAATTCTTGTACAGCAGCAGCAACATCTGGCACTGCGTCATCATCTCTGGAGTATAATTGGGGATAAGTTAATAGATATAATATTTGAGAAATTTGGCTTTATTAATGTTTAAATAATAAAAGAAATTCAATAAAAGTCATGAATATTAAATTAGCTTAAGTTTTGTTTTTCCTTAACTTCTACTATAAATTCTCATTTCTACAAATTAAATATAAAAAATTACTAAGTGTCCGCGTAAGGTAGATTTCTGCTTTGCAGCCTATGCTTATTATATTTTCTAAAAATTTAATGCTGAAAAAGTATACTTCTATATTGTAGGAAATATTCAGTAAAGGCAAAACTTAATGATAAGTTTTGATAAAAGATTACTAAAGACTAACAAAATGGAAGAAAACAAATCACAGTGAACAGATCCTTAAAGCTAGAATAATCATAATATTCCACTTATAACCTTAAGGTCAGCCAATTTCATCCAAAAAAATATCAGATTTATTCAAAATAAAAGTAATAACAAATTTACCTCAAAAGCTGCTTGGTTTGTAAGCAAACTCTTTGCAAATCAATGCATCCTTGTATATCTACGAATCAGGCTCATTATACTTGCAAACGTTATCAAACTCCAAAGCTAGCTCATTCACTGAATTGTAGACTCCAATCTTAAGTTTATGAGCTATTTTCTCCATGTCTATAGGATTTTTAATTAGCTCATAGTAGTCTGGATACTCAATTTTAGTTGGCAGCTTCATGAATATGAGTGCTAGCTGTCGGTTAGCTGGAAAAAGGGAATCGCATGTGAAAACTAAATACGTTCATAAGCCTACAATAGAATGTGGAATAGATGAGAGACAAACTATATTTTTTATAAATATCCCAAAATGTGTCTTCTTCATTCTATGATCATTTGCTCCTCTACTAACATTCCTCGTCTTATAAATTTTGATTCTCTTTTAACCTACACAAACACTTTTTGTATATTTTTTGTGTTTTTATTAACAAAAATAGTATATTTATAAGAAAATTTTAATGTTTATCGATACTATTGTACTAAGCAGTTTCAACAATCGTGTTTGTCATTTGTTCTAGGTAATTCAACATAAAACATCATATCGTATGAAGTTTATAAATAAAACGTAGAACATAAGATTTACTAAAATATTATTAAAAAAATATTGAACATTAGTACTAAATATATTATATTTAGCTCACTTCAAATAAGAGATGTTTCTCGATACAATTGTTTTTTTTTAAATATGATTTACGTGAAATCTTCGCCTGTTGCGAACCAATTTTGATGAATCTTTTTTTTTTTCTTATAAAGGTTATACCTCCAGGATGTTCCCTTTGCAAAAAACATTCCATCCCTAAAGGTGAAAAATAGGAGAGGAAGTTTTAAATGTAACTAAGGACTACACTCTAGTTGCCACTTATTACCTTTAGTAGTATTTTGTCATTCTTTGAATTCAGTTTTATTTGTTCATAAATCATATCACTTAATCTAGAAAACACGGACAAACTTATCGTTTGCCGTACCTTTATTCAACTTTGTCAACTTTCTGGCTGGCTGAAGTTTAAAAATATAAAAAGAAAAGGAAAAAAGCGGTACCACTGTCTTTGCTTACTTATTTGACATGAAAATAGAATGTCTCACCAATATTTAATTATAATATACCTATCAAAAGAACATCGAAACAAAAATTATTTTAACCAAACTTTTAGGATCACGATAATCTCAAATTGCATCATATAGTGCCCTCAACTTCTGTTCGAAAGGTGACAATTGCCTAGACTTGACAGTTTTTATAGGCTTGAGTGGAGTCTTCTTCTCATGACTACTGTTAAGTTACTTTAGTTTTTCATTCATGACGCGTTTTAGAAGATTGGCGTCTTCGTATATCATGGAACCTTCTTTGTTGAACTGACGGCAGTTTGAGAACATAAGACAGAAATCGTAAATCATTTCTTCCACACTGTTGTAGCGATCATTCTGTAGAAATTATGAACATTGTATATTTCAATAAACATAATAATTTATAATTAATACAAGTTTTTAACAATTATACAGTTATGGCTGGTTTCGACATTTAAACAATATTTTATTTATTTCATATCATTAATTATGTATTTACATAAATTTGTATGCCCATACTACAAAATTTGATGTGATCATAATTGCAAGCTTTTTTTCTTAATTACTGATAGTTTTTCTAAGATTACCTTTATCTTTATAAGTTAGCATCCCAGAGTACTTAGATGGACTGCTTTGTTGCCAGTAAAAGGGATCTCTGGTTTTCTACAATTACCAGACGAAACTGCAGCATTATGCCACTGTTTCAAGCTGATATTCTATGAAAGAGTGGCCTTGCCAGGTCAAGCTGATTAATTCATGCTACAGCCAAAACACAACCGGATAGACTGTGGCATTATAAGATAAAAAAAAATTACACTGTTATGTATTATATTTAGCAATACAACATTGTATATAGTATAGTAAATAAATATTTATTTTTCTATCTGAAGTCCTTAATCTTAAGCGAAGTTTAGATTAGCAACAAAACTTGCAGAAGTTGACTTCTGCAAGCTTTTCCTGCCGTGTAAACAATCACGTCAAGCTCACTTCCGTAAATTTTGTAACTTGCAGGACTTGCCGCAAGTGTAAACTCTTTTGAAACTTCTGGCAGTAACTTGCGGTTTATTTTACTTGCAAATAAAAGTTTAAAGTTGGTGAGCAATATTTCAGGTAAAAAAGTTTGGCTAATTATGGGATACGAAATATTTTACGCAGTTTAAAAATTTCACTCTGATGACATTTTTAAACTGCAAAAACCTATTCTTCGCACCTGAGTTCTTTTAATAGATGATTGTGGATACCAACATTATCTCTTCTTAAAATCCAACTCTTAACCTACTTTCTATTTTTCCGTTTTTTTTATATGATAGGGTGACAAACGAGCACACAGTCCACCTGATGGTAAGTGGTTGCTGCGGCCCATAGACACATCTAACTTCGATTACGAATCAAAATGCAGATGCGTTGTCACCCGTGAGGACTAAGATGGAATGCCTCGTTTCCAGTAAAAAGGGTATCCGGTTCTCTACACTCAACATACGAAACACAGCAGCATTAAGCTACTATTTTACACTGGTATTCTGTGAGAGCGTGGTCCTTCCTGGGTCGGATGGACCCATTCGTGCTACAACTATACTACTAATATAACTGCAGCATGGCTATACCATGTAAAAACGTTACTTTTTAATACTACTAGATAATACTATTGGGATGATGATTGATTTCAACTCTCTGAATTTGGATCCTTTGACTTGCATGCAAAAAATATTGCCCTAGTGTAAACTGTTTTCCAAGTACTTCCACAAGTTATTTTGCAGGCCGCTATTGCTGGTAAGCAATATTGCTGGTAGTGTAAATGGTTCTGCAAGTACTTGCGGAATAACTTGGCAGAAGTTCTATGAAATCTAAACCCTGCTTTAGAACGATCTAAAATCATCGATGAAGTAACCTTAATATTCGCCTCAATAGTGATCATATAAATGGGCCTGTCAATAATATTATAATATTCAAGGTACGATTTCTTGCTCGGTTTTCCCATAAACAACAGCATGGGCTGTCTCCCATCGGAACACGTGAATTCTACCAGCTGTTTTGAAATGAAATGGAGTTTCTTTTTTAAAGGTACGTTAGACTTTGGCACCGACGGTGAGGTTACTGGTGAGGGCGTTGTCACCGGTTTCGGGTTTATTCTTAAACGACCTGTTTTTGGGGTAGGACATTTTATAAATATTATAAACACGCCAAATTAAAACGGATTCATAATTTAAAAATTGAAACATTCTTGTTCCTTAATTGGATTTGGAAATCTATGCAACACTTGCTTCCTGCCTAGAATCAGTAAAGAAATTCAATTAATATCTTCATATTTGCTGATTTTAATGTCATAGAATTATAAAATTACAATATTCCAAAGTGGAAACATCGGCTAAGCTTTCCATTGACGTCCGTCGAGTTGGGGGTTGATATTTTTTTTACAGAAGGATGACATTAATATAAGCACACACGCACAATTCAACTAGCGGAAACGCGTAGTTTTTGAGAAAAAAATCATCGAAAATCAATAATTTTTGCAATATTTTTGTCAATTCCTACCATAGATTATATTGTATTACAGATATATCACGCCATTGAATATTCCGTTTTAAGTACGGTTAACTTGTCATATGTTGGGTAACATTTCATTTTATATAAATTTACGTAAATAATTATATTTTGTATTCATTTTAATACGACCTGGTAAGACATGCAGGAAGTCGATGGATGCAGGTGGCACAGGACCATGCTTTGTGGCACTTGGGGGAGTGTGTTACTTGGGGGAGGCCTATGTTCAACAGTGGACTTGTGAAGGGTAGTAATGATGATAATAAATAAATATAGCCTGCCTTTTGGTTTATTATTATATATTATGTGCCCAATAAACTTACCGGCTTTTTTTTCTTACGTGAAGGTGGAGGTCCAGGGTTGCTTAACTCTATGCCGTCATCACTATCATCACCGTCAGCACCGCGACTTGCTACAGACGAAGCCCGGCGTATTTTGCTCATTTTTATAAGCTATAAAAGAATCTCGCCAGTGCCACTATATTGGCAAAAATTTAAGTGAATGCCGAGGTTCTCACGAACTACTTTTTGACATTGTTCTAGTAGCTAAAATTCTTAATCAACGCGTAAAAACAAATAATTAAAGATAAAGATTCCGACAAATAACAAATATACCCAACTCAACTCAACAATACAATTTCTGTGTTATTAGTAGTAATTACAATTCACGTGTTGCCAGATTTTTTTCACCTTCCCCCCTAGATTTTTCCAAAAATCCCCTAGTTTCCCTATGTAGGGGGATAAAAAACCTCTGAATTTTTATTCGGTCAAGTTTCGTGTGAATCAGATTTATCAAAAATAAAAAGTTTCTACTACATACAAGCTATGTTCTTAGACCATTCAACCCAATGGACGAGTAATGCGCCTAATGCTACGAATAAAAAAGTCTGTCACTTTTGGTGCGGGGGAAGAAACACTACATAGACAGTACTGCACACCTACTCAATAAAATTTTGTGTCACTAAGGCACACACAAATTGAAATCTCCAACACTATTACATTTTATGCACACATGTAGGTTAAATAGATCAATATAGAAAAAGTTATAAGTATAAGACGGATAAATTAATTGCGATACTACCATATCGATATTTTATATCGATAATGAATTGTCGGCATTATCTGTTTTGAACAAGAAATCAGAAGTTGATAAGTCTAGTGAAAAACCTTCAGAAAAACCTCTAGATTAATTTCGTGATATTAAAACCTCCAAAAAACCTCAACGTCCTCCAAAAACCCCTAGATTGAGGAAAAACATCTAGATCTGGTAACACTGCAATTTACGTCAAGCCAACGACAAGCCAAGCGCTCTATAATCTATGGATCTAAAGGGAAGTCTTTATTCATCGATGTTAGGAAAACATCGATTTTAATTCCTTGAAATCATTGACACATTGATGTTACGAGAATAATATCCGAATATCTATACTACTAAACTCTGTACAGAATAAATAATAGTGTTACGAGCTTGAGGTTCGTGACAATAAAAATTGCCGATAAAATTACCTAAATTAACACTTTAATTTACTTTACACAAATTAAAACTTAAAACACTAATAATTAAACACACTAATTCACTTTATTCCGCTCCGAAGCTTCGCTTGTCTCGCCAAATCAACACTGCCCCGATCGCATCTTGCAGCGCCTATATATACAAATTAGCAATGAAGCATCCAGAATATTCAAGTAAATGCGCGCAAAGCGACGAGTGTTCGAGTGTAGATTTTCTAGAAACTTAGTTCTTCGGTTTGAGACTAGATGGCGCTGTCGATTGAAAGATTTGTGATGTCATTTTCTGCAAAGCTCCCCTCGCTCTCGTTCCTGACACTAGATGGCGCTAGTGTATCGTCGACTTGAGCGCGTAACAATAGTACTACGTATAGAAGTTACACTCCTTCGATGTTGACTACTTGCTAACGTTTAATAGCCTACATAATAATTATTAATTAGATAAATCCTGCCGCAAGGTAAATAAAACTTCATCGCTGCGCGCGTGTGTCCTGTACCGTTTTTACCATAAGGGTATACTGGGCCCGTGATAAGGACCCATATCATCACGGAGGCCCCCGTGATGGAAGGCATCGGCCTTATTCGCTTACGCTATATAATCTTTTACTATTTTAAGAAAATATAACCCGACAAAAAAATTATAGAGTAAATGAAGGCATTGTTAGTGACTTTCTGGCAACCCTGAGCAGTGAGAAGTCGTACCATCACACATTGCCGGAAAAAGTGGGATTGACAGATTTTCTAAGTAGAAAATATGTAGTTCCGCATTTCGCCGACATCTACGTTTTTGTCGGGCTGCCTTACTTATATACTAGATTTATATACTTAGATTTTAAGCTAGGAAAGCTAAAAAAATCTAAGTATCTATTGGAATTACACAAACATAGACAAAAGTAGCAATTACCTTTATTTAAAGTTTTGGTAACGAATTATTAAAAAATTATTACAATACAAACCTACTTCATGCGTCCATGTTCTGTTTCACAAATGTTTGCGCGTGTATTGGTCAACATTGGCAAAACATTTTTAGAGGTGGTTTTGATCGGTAATTTTGTTTAAAATATGATATTATTTGTTAGTTTAGAGCTTAAAATATAACATATTATACATGTAATTACCGAAAGTAAGACATATCGGCCGTTTAATTACTTTTTCGGGCATTATTCTTGCAACTTTTAAATACACATTGCGGCATTGTGAAACGTGTTTACATTGGCTGTGTTTCAAGTGAACTTAACGAAACAAGAGCTCACGTCTCATGTGCGCTGTTATTTACTTAGATGGATTTCTTGCGCCGACCCGACATCTAGTTGGTATTGTTGATCGAAGCTGATTACGATTACACTTTTGCTATAGCAATACGATATATCATTGTTACTGGGTGTATCACACATACGTTAATTCCGCGCGGAAAGCAAAACACCTAGTGTGCGTCGCTGACTGAATCGAGTATGTGTGTTTGTGTATATGTAATCTCGTACGTATATCTATTTTCGTAACCTTTCCTCTTGTATTGTTTAACAATTCCGAATTGTTAATGCGCCGAAAGAGTTTATGGACATCCGATAGTATTCAAAAAATTCTTTGGATAAGCTTGTAATTAGGCTCTTTTTACATATTATTGACTATCTTAAAATCTCAGGGTATTAAGGGGATGCACCCAGTAACAATGATACAGCAACAATGCATCCGCAATCATAAAATTGTCATCCATATCCGCTGGCAGAATGTCTGGACTCAATGCATAGCGTCTCTCAACTGAGCCTTTTTATTCCGAAGAGAAATAAACGTGTGTGTAGTGTATTTACGGATTCTTGAATCGATATTCCGAAACGGCTTTTTGAAACGGAATTCCGACTGTTTGTGGTAGGCCTTACTCACAACCTTGTCAGAAATGAGAGGCCTGTTCTCAGTTATGGGACGTATATTAGACTGTAACTTTACATTTAAAATACGGGTAGGTACTTTATTTAGAAGTTAAAACACAAGTTATGAAACAAATTACCTCCATTTATCTGTGATCCATCGGCGTCTTATTTAAGACTCCTAAGTTGCATAGGGAAAGCAGTGAGAAAAGTTGAGGCAAGTTAGAACGGATCTTTTCCCCTGCGCATAGATTACCTGCGTGGGCGGGACGAGTGAAGTATATGATTGGATGTAAAGCGTGTACTCGGATGTTCACCATGTACTCCGAACTATCCTATTTTTTCAAAATAAATTTTTGTACTTATTCTTTAACTAAAACAATAACAGTATAAAATTTTAATTTCATATCCATTTAAGATCGTAACGAAAAAATTAATTCTTAAAATTATCTACTTTATTGCTAAATTGGCCGTATTGTGAATAGTTACGAAAAAAATGAAAATAAGAAAACCTGGCGGTAATATTAAATAAATATATTTAAGAATTTTTTCGTTCTTTAATAAGACAATCATGTAAAACGTCCATACTCGTATTAGGATTATTCCTAAGCAGCCTTTGGATCAAAACATATGAAACCTATACAATAATTATGATTTCTAAATATAAGAATTATTACAATATAGTAAATAGTTTAGAATCCCGTAAACAATTTATAGTGGTATGGTACCACGACTATGTTTATTACTGACGCCATATTGATTTTAGAACGAAAATTAAAATAATTTGTTAGAGTAAAAATCTACCTTAATAATTATTATTTTTATTTTTGATTGCCAATATTATATTTTTATTAATATTAGTTTATTAAATTTTCATTATTAAGTTATTTGGTAGTGATAAGTTATTATTTTTTAACTTTTTAATTTGATTTATACGTGGTAGAGCCATGCTGCAATTATATTAGTAAGTAGTATAATTGTAGCACGAATGGGTCGGCTCGACCAGGAAAGGACCACGCTCTTACAGAATACCAGCGTAAAATAGTAGCTTAATGCTGCTGTGTTTCGTATGCTGAGTGTTGGGAACCGGAGACCCTTTTTACTGGAAACGAACCATTCCATCTTGTCCTCACGGGTGACAACGCATCTGCATTTTGATTTGTAATCGAGGATAGATGTAGATGTCAATGGGCCGCAGCAACCACTTACCATCAGGTAGATTGTGTGCTCGTTTGTTACCCTATCCTATAATTTTTTTTATGGAAAAGGTAAAACGCTATTTTACATGCAATCATATATGACTGTAAACGGAAGTTAAATTTTATTGTTTCATATAATATTCTCTTATGATTAAGATAAAAAATTATGCAATGATGTTAAGTAGGTAATTTGTAACTGTAAAAAGCTGTAGGTATATGAAATACTCTGAACAAGTAACATAACAGGTGTTGAATTATTATAGGTACCAAATGCATATACATTAGATACTTAACCTCGCAGATATCAATCCATCCATTCGGAAAAACAATTGTCGCCTTTCTAGACCCCCGCCAAAGAGTATAGTAATATTTAGTAGGGACTAAGGACCCACGAGAACCAAAGAATATATAATCACTCTGTTTACTCAGAAGCTCAGAACCATAGATAAGAGTGCTCAGTACGATTCTTTTAAAATGTTGTCTTTTAAAACTAAAGTTTTATGAGAATTCGTTTCGATACGAAATCACTCTTCTAAATATACTGAAGAGTCCACCTAAAGATGGTAAGTGGCTATTGCAGCCCGAGGAAACTTGTAGCTAAGTTGTAAGTTGTCACCTCCACAAACTGAGATGAAATACCTTACAGCCTTCATTTATGCCGGTACTAGTTAAGTGGGTGATTACCCAGATAATCTCGCAGACAGAAATGAGTCTTACCACTTAGTTCACACATAAACTTAAAAAAAAACTGGTAAATAAAGTCGCTGAAAGACACGCTGCTGTACTTAAATTATATATAAATTAAATGTTAATATCTAAAATCAAACAGCGATGGGAAATGTGTACTAAAAAGTTATTAAACAAGACTTCA